CCCGCCGTGGCCGGCGCCCGGCAACGGGATCGCAAGCCTCGGCGCTGCTCCCGCGCCTCGCTCAGCCAGTGAGCGGGAACCGGTCTGTACATGGGATCCGAACCCTCGGACGGGAGCGCCGCCGCGCTTCCCAAGCGGCGCACTATCCAGTGCGCCACCGGGCCGGCCCCCTTTTTGTCTTTTTTTCGTGACCGGCAACGGGATCGCAACCCTCAGTGTTGCGCCCGCACCGCGCTCAACCAGTGAGCGGGCCAGTCTCTATATGGGATCCGAACCCTTGGCTGGAGCGCTGCCGTGCTCCCAAGCGCTGCACTCTACCGAGTGCGCCACCGGGTCAACCCTTCCCAGCTCATTTCTTAAAAGATTAAAGTTCATGGGCCGGCCCCGTGGCTCACTCAGGAGAGTGTGGTGCTGGTAGCGCCGAGGCCATGGGTTCGGATCCTATGGGGATGGCCGGTGCACTCACTAGCTAAGCGTGGTGCAGACGACACTCAGCTGAGGGTTGAGATCCCCTTACCAAAAAAAAAAAAAAAAAAAAAGATTAAAGTTCATGCAACCAACTTTCATTTAAACACATTTATTGAGATATAATTCATATACTATAAATTTCACCCATTTCAGGTACAATTCAATGGGTTTAGTACATTCATAGAGTTGTGTGACCATCACCACAGTCTAAGTTTAGAACATTGTCATCCCCCCAGAAAGAAACCCCCTACCCATTAGCAGTCACGCCCCATCTCTAGCCCCCCAGATCTGGGCAAACAGTAGTCTACTTTCTGTCTGAATAAATGTGCCAATGTATTCTGTACTTTTCCTATAAATGGAATCATGCAATAGGTGATCCTTTGAAACTGGCTTCTTTCATATCTTATAATGTTCTCAAGGTTCATTCTTTTTATAGCATGGGTCAGTACTTCTTTACTTTTTATTGCAAACAATATTCCATTATATGGCTGTGCCATATTTTATTTATTCATTCATCGGTCAATGGCCATGTGGGCTGTTTCTACATTTTGGCTGTTGTAAATAATACTGCTATAAACATCTGGGTCCAGTTCTTTGTATGTGGATGTTTTCATTCCTCTTAGATATATATCAAGGAGTGGAACTGCTGAGTTTTGAATCATATTTGTTCTTGTAGTCTCTCTTCCCCCATAACTGTGAATAGGCTTGTTAATAAATGAGAGAAATTAGTATTATTTGAATCCCAAAATCTTTATATGTAAGTTAGGCTATATTTGTGTAATATCTTTTATTTTTGTCAAGGCAGAGAGGCCATTGTTTTAGATGTTTTATTTTATAATTTGTGAATAATTTTGTTTTAGTTCAGATAGTTACAGTTATAAACAGGGTAATATTGGTGGGAAATATGTCATCACAATTTTCTTTAAATATTTCTTCTTAATTTCTATGACATATTTAAATATATAGGATTTTTTTTCTGTCCTAATAAATATTCCATTTTATTGAGTTTTAAGATGATTTCTTAAATGGAATTTTATGATATTTAAAACATTTTCCAAAGGTTCAGCTTCTTAAACCATCCTTCTGGCAAATTCTCCTCACCTCAACTTGAATGTTACCTCTCCTGAGAAGCCATTTCTGCTCCTCTTTCATGCCCAGCAATTTTTACATATGTCTATCAAGGCATTTCCCCCAATATGTTATTCTTATATGCCAACATGTCTAATGGTTTCCAGTAGTGCTTTCTCACTTGACTAAGTTGACCTTTCCTGTGACTCCTTAAAGGAAACTGGGCTATTTGTGTCTGTCACACTTGGAGAGACCTAGGAGGAGTTTGAATCAGTCTCCTTGCCAATCCGGTGGGACCGGTTTTAAACTGCTTCTGCTGAGCTGCTGGGTAATGCCTTATACAAAGGACTTTCATCCAGGGCTGGAGCTGCTCAAACTTGTGTTTTCCTGGGTAGGTGCAGCAACATTCATGCAACTGCAATCTTAAGAGAAGAATTGATTGTCCGTGGTGTGTGTGTGTGTGTGTGTGTGTGTGTGTGTGTGTGTGTGTGTTGGGGGAGAGGGAGATCATGAAGAGCCCATGAGGGATTAGCTCTTGTTACTTGCCTTCATCAGAGCAGACTAGAAATGGGGTGGGAGGGCAGAAACATGTACCAACCAATGTATATTTAAGAGAGAACACCCCCTACTCCCACTTCAGTACACTCACCTACTCTTAAGCAGTCCCTGGGAGGGCTCAGATGAGGACGTCTGTCTCAGTTGTGATCTGTGAGGAAATCTGGTGTGTAGTTTTTCAGAGAACATACTTCTAGGTTAATTTTGAATAAAGAACATGTCCATTCAGAAGAAATCATTCAATGATACTAGTTAAAGCATGGTAAGGAAGACTTTATTTAGGACCATCGCCATAGGTATAGGGACCACTGCAATGGGATTTGCAGTGGGGGAGAGAAATTGGGCTC